AACACAACAAGGGGCACTTCTGATGAGCCCCTTCAACACGCCAACAACTAGAGAAACATCTCTCTCCTTCGGCAAGAGCACCGAAACAAAGGCAGCAAACCTCACCCTCATTTCTGACTGGGTTCATCTCACAAAGTTCCTGAGGAAAAGTCCATTCTCCCAGACTCAGAAACGCTACTCCAACTTGCTTCAACAGAGTTGGCAACTGAAGGGACAAAACTTTAAAAACACATTTAGCACTGCTTATTGACATGACCCTCTTAATGCTGAGGAGCCACAGAAAAGTGCTGCAGTACAGCAAGACTGTTATCTCACTGCAAGACTTCCCCCAGCAGCCTGTGCACCGCCTGACAAGCTCCCTGCAGCAGGAAAATCAAGGCAGCAGCACTGTGTGCAGAGGAGGCTCCAGTGACATCCTGTGTCTCACCACATGCAAAAGAAAAGGGAATTTAAAAAAACCCACCTGATTTCATTCATTGCCTAGCTGGGAAAATAGGGGAATGCCAACTCTGTAATCATCAGAAATTATTCACCACACCTTCTACTAAGAACACTTGCAAATGGACAGCACACTGACTAAATCGATTTGGAAGTAAGTGCCAGCCATAACAAACCCATGATGGAATTTATCTTGACATAAAGAATTAAAGACATTTAAAATAATTTTTTTGTTTAACCACTAGCATGTGGGTGGCTCAAGTCCATTCATACCTCGGCAAAAGCACAAAACAGTCTCACATTTTTTTGGTATTCCACAACAGCTGGATGACTCATGCGCTATTTCACCATCATTTTGTACTGGTATGTACTGGTGCTGCCATAGAAAGCGGTGTTCCTACCTTCTCCCCTCCCTCAGCTGTTCATTCCTGGCCTTGCCCCTTCCTCTACCCACTATGCACACACGTTTGTGGCACAAGGAGAAAAAAATGAAGTGGATGAACTCAGGCAATGTAACAGCCTTCAGCCTGCAGCAATCCCCTTGTTCAGGTCAGAGCAGAGAGGTTTGTTCTGGCATGAAAATGCAGCCAGGACAGGGAATGAGAATGAGACTGGTACCAGGTAAGGCTGCTGGGATCACCTTATCCCACAGGTAGCCCCAACTATGCTAACCAACCAGACTGTGAAACTACATTTTATGAGACTTACCTCTCAACATGGGGTATTGCAGCAAAACAAGAGATAGAGGCTGGTTTGAAAAAACACAAGTATAGAAATTATTGTTTGAAAAAGAAAGAAATAAAGAAGATTTGGTTTACTATTTTAAACCTTTTTTTTTTTTTTAAAGTGTGACCTCAGACTTCAAAAGTTGGGCTTACACAGCCTATAATATTTGAAACAGCATTAGTAATAAATCTGAAAATAGGACTTTTCTGTAAGAATATTAATACTATTTAAAACAGAATATAAACAGAAATGTATGTTTCACTTCCAGTACCAGTGCACACACAGACTACAAGCCTCAAAAGCAAGGGAGAAATTCATTATTAGTATTTACAGATTTACTATGTTAAATACAATAACATGGAAATAAACATTACAATTGAAGACAAAACAAAGAAAACATAGCTAAAACAGCATGCCCTTTGATAAGAACAATGAGAGTAACTCAAATGAGTATTCTGAAATAATTTTAATGTTGATAACTGATCTAAGGGTTTGGCAAGTTTCAGGTCACAGAAAGGTCAGATCACTTGAGCATT